AAGTAAACAAATGATATATATTTATAAATTTAATTGGAAGAGGTAATTAATTAATTTGATAAGCAATAAATTAATATATTAAATATTAAAAATATTAAAAATTAGCACAAATTTAATGAAAAAAAATGATAAAAAAATAATTTCGTAAATTATTTACAAAAAATGAAAAAAAAAATTCTTAAAAATTAAGAAAAAAATATTCAAAAAGGTTGCTTAAAACTTAAAATTTAATAATTATGTGGCTCTGGGTAAAAAAAATTAAAATAATGACAGCAAGCTGGACATTTACCGTGGCTTTAAAATAAAAGTATTTATTCTGACATTTACATACTACCACTATTTTTAGAAAATCTAATAAAATTTGTACTAAAATATAATTGTAATAAATACTTATATTATCATTTTTATTTTATTATAAAAATGAACAAAGATTTTTTAAAAATAAATAAAATAAAATAATTATTATTAGAAAAATATAGCTAATAAAATTAGCTTTCTTTTGAGTACGTTTTAAGAACAACAGGTGAACTTTATTTTAGAAAAAAAATAAATTATAAATACAATAAACGTTTATTTTATTAGATTAACAAGAATACAGCTTGGCTACAAAACACAAAAATAAATTTTTTTAAAAATTTCTAGAAGCAGAAAAAAATTTTTCGACTTCCCCAAACCAAAAATATAGTAAATATTCTGTCAATTCTCGAGATTAAAAAAAATTTTTAATCAATTTTTTACTTTTTCTAAAAATTGATTTAGGGCTCAAAAATAAGATTATCATTTTTTATTTTCACAAAAAAATCTAAATCTAATTTGTGTAATAAAATAAATATTATTTCCCCAATTTAAATCCTACCTCTCTCCTCTCCACCTATAAATTTCCGGTTCTTTTTTAATTTTTAGTGATTTCAACCGATATATTAAATTAATCGTAAATTATAAATTTTTATTTATAAATATATTATATTGTTTTTGTAGCCCTATTTTTTGAAAATTAAAATAAAAAAATTTTTTGAAAAAATAAAAAAAATTTTCAAATTAAGATAAATAAGCAGAAGCAACGCTCCAAGTCGTTTCAGTTTTTTAACATAAAAAATTTTTGTCAAGTTAAATAAAAATTTTTAAATTCTATTTTATTTTGTAGGTTAATTAATTCTCTATTTAAACATGAATAAAAAATCAAAAATTAAATTAAAAATTAAAAATTGAATTAAAAGGATATATGAAACTGAACGACGTTTCCCCCAATATAATATAAGAAATAAATACAAAATTCTAAAAAAAAAATTAATTAATTAAAAAATTAAAAATTAAAAAAAAATACAAGTTAATTCTTTGAAAAAGTCATTCTTGAAAAAGTAAATAAAGAAAAAAAAAAATCAGAAAAAAAGTTTCCTTTTAACTTAACTTGTACTAAATGTATTTTTTTGCTGCTTTAATAATAATAGTGCTGCTAATAGTGTGTTAATGGTGTTAAAAAAGCAACAAAATAATTAAACCAACAAATACAAAAAAATGTTTCTTCCCCTTTTTTCTCTCTCTCTCAATTAATGAGCCGACAAAAAAAAATAATGAATACATTATTAAATACATTAATAAATAAATATAAATAAAGGCCACAAGCACTACTTGGCCGTTGTTTTTTCCCCTTTATTTTTAGCAAATACACACAAAATTGCTTTATTTTATTTGTGTTAATGGGATTTTGCTTTTCGATACATTGAAAGAGATAAAGAGATATTTTAATTTATATTTTTTATTTTATTATTTAATGAATGCGCTTTTTAAAAAAACTAAAAAAAATTGTATTCATTATAAATGAATAAAAAATGGCCGGAAAAAAATATAAATAAAAAATAAAATTGGTGGTGGGTGATGTTTACAAAGAATCTCTCTCTATCTACTATTAGCAGCTATAAGAAATAATAATAATAAAAAAAGTTGGGGGTAAAAATGGATTCCGTTTAATAATAAAAAAATGGAAAGAAAATTAATTGTCTCTTTTTCCTTCTTTAATTTCTCCATTTTAAATATTAAAAAAAATTTTTTTCTAAAAAATTGTTAATTAAAAGACAATTAATCAAAAAAATTAAATTAATTCAAAATATATAAGCATATTTAGATGCTTCAGTCGTGCTGAATGGGATAAACGAAAAAAGACATAAAATTAAACGGTTCTGGTCTGATTCGGTAGAGAATTTTAAAGCGGCCACAAAATAGATACAAATTATTAATTTTGAAACTATACAAAATAAAGGAGTGTGCTACAGATTAAGGTTGTCGGATAGCTAGAAATCTTCGGATATACAGTTCCGATATTCGAAAATTTCCGGATATCCCCTCTTTTTCTATATCAGGATCCGGATAACCTTACTTCAAACATGTGATTAATTCTCTATTAAATGATCCCCCCAAAATAATTGTTTAAATAGGTAAGTAATTTTGCTGCACAATTTAATATTACTCTTATTTTAAAAATAAAAAAATTTTTAGGTGAAAATAAAATATGAAGAAAAAATAAAATAAAAATTATATTAATAATAAATTTTTTTTTCGTAAATATAAATCTTGAAAAAATTTTTGGGGAATGAAAAAATATATTAAATAAAAATGAGGAAAATAAAAGAAAAAGCTCTTTATTATTCATTTTATTATTTGATTTTAAATGAATCATCTAAAATGCAAGTAAAAAATAAAATATAGGTATACATACTACCTACTAACTATCTTCCCACCTATCAGGCGCAAAGCTATAAAGAAAAATTATTTTCCTGACACTCCCTCCCTCTTTTTTTATTTCTAATAAAATAAGCGGATTTTTCTTGACCAAATTTTTAAGAGTAAATAACGAAAAAAATTTCTTAGCCAAGTCCAAAAAAATATAGTAAAATATTAAAAGCTTTGACCATATAAAAAAACTTTTTTTTTAAATTTTGCGCGATAAATAAATATAAAAAAATAAGAAAGCGGCCAAGCCTTTAAAAATATTGTACGGTTATGTGCGCTTATACCTATTAGTATAGTAATGGTCAGCAAACAATAAAGTATAAAGTAACCAATAAGAATAAAATACAAAAATAAAGTTGCAAATTTTAGACAGGCTAGAAATAAAAGAATAAAAATAAATTTTGATATAAACTCTCCGGAAAGGTTGAAATTAATTTTTGTATTTTACAAAAATAGAAAATATAAATTTTCTCATCTTAAGAGAAAATTCTGATATAGTTTCCGGAAAGCTTCAAATAGATTATTCTGATTTTTGTTGTATTTTCGTTGTAATTGTATTTTTGTTGTAATTATTGTATTTTCCGGAAAATGAATAAAATATTTTGATAGAATTTCCGGAAAGATTTAATTAATTTTTGTATTTTCCGGAAAGCTTATACAACTCGTATATTCTGATTTTAATTGAAAAATTCTAATAGTCTCCGGAAAGATTTATTTAATGTATTTTCCGGAAAGTTTCAGACATATTAAATATAATTCTGATTTCTATACCTTTCACACAAATCTCTCTCATTTTTATTATACTATCTCTAATACAGAATTTAGCAACAAAATTGTTCAATATACTTAACACACATTTTCTCACATACTCACAAATTAATTCTGATATGCTTAAAATTATCAACACACAATTTCCTATTTTTTCTTTTAATTTCTCTTCACTTTTCACATTTACCATAATCTTCTTAATTATTTTTTTTATTTATTTTATGTTCTGATAAATTACCCCCTTAAATAACCATATAACCTTAATGAGTGTTTCTCTCACATATTTATTAATCTTTCATTAAACACAATTTTTTTCATTGGAATATATATTTAATAATAATAATTTTCTTCCGATAAATTAATTTATATCTACATATATATAAATAAATGTTTTATCGCGGCCAAGAAATAAATAAATTGTGTAATATATCACATTATATAGAAGAGGTGTTTGGTGTTGACCCAATAAATTTATTTAATATTTTATTTTGTAATAATAAAGAAAATCCTCTTAAAAATAAATGAGAGTGAAATAAATATATTTGATTAAATAAAAAAAAGTTAATGAGTAATAAATTATATAAATTTTGGAAAAATTTTAGGGAAACACAAAAAAAATAAATTAATTAGCATAAATTGATAAAATGTCTTAAATTTTAAAATAAATATAAAAACACAAAGAAAACACAAAGAAAATACAAACAAAAATACAAAAAGTTTTTTTAAGGTTTCCGGAAAAGACTATCATGTTTGCATAGTGTGTGTTAATTCCGGAAAGTGTTTTGCAGTTGTATTTTGTAACAAGTTTTTAAGGTTTCCGGAAAAATACTATTAAGTATAAATATTGTGTTTTCCGGAAAGTGTTTTGCAATTGTATTTTCTTAAAACTTGAAACAGAATAAATATTGGAAAGAGGTTTTACACAAATTAAACGAACAAAATGCCAAATATTTTTTTGTATTTTCAAAAATAAAAATTAAAAAATTTACTAATTAGATTATAATCTCTCTTTTTTATGTTAATTAGCCATTAAACAAATTTTTTTATAATTTAATGACCTTTACAAGATTGAAAGTTTAAACACACAACTAAAAATAGCTAATTTTTTCTTTCCATTTTCTTAATTTTTAAAACACACATAAATAAACACACACTTAACTTCCGTCTGTCAATTTGCATAATTATTTTATTTTTAATTTTTTTACATTCCTCTCTCTCTACTTAAAAAATAACTGGTTTTTTCTCCCCGTTTTTCCTGCTTTCAATTAAATTTCACATCAAATTCCACCCCTAAAAGCAATTTAAAAAAGACTCGAAATTTCCCAAAAATCTCCAAGTTATATAAATAAAACTCACACTAAAACATCCGCGCAAATATTTCATAAGAAAAACACAAACAAATACAAAAACACATATCCAAAATTAAATTTCCCCTTTTCCAAGTGTCAACAAAATCTTTCTAAAACAAAATTTCACCTATTATAAATTTAAATAAACATAAATAAAAAAAATTTCCTTCCATTCTTCACCCACCTTTTCCATTCAAAATAATCGCCAAATTACCCCTATATCCGTTGCAAATAAAAAAAAAGGTGTGTGTGTTTTTATTTATTGCTTCTTTTTTAACCTAAAACTAAATAGTAAAAAATCACCTCACACTTCCTCCTCCCTAAACTAATACTTAAACTCAATTTCCTCCCAAAAAATTTATTTTCCTTAGAAGCTTCAAGTCTTTCAATAAATTTTATATATTTTTAAACAAGTACATGTATTTTATTTAAAAAAATTAAAAAAGAAAAAGAAAGATGCCCAAGAAATTAAAAAATAACAAATTTTTGATTTTATAAAAAATAAGATTAAAGAAAACAACAAAACAAAACAAATTGAAAGAAAATTGGAAGTAAATAATAGTAGTTTACCTCCCCTTTTCCCCCCACACATCCCCCATCCCTTCCCCACACATCAACTACCTTCCTCTTTCCCCTCTTCATCATCTTAACTAAAATTAAAATTTAAAAAAAAAATAAATATTTCAATAAAAGAAGGAACCAATTTTCGGATTTAAATAAATACTCATCATCTCAATTACTTCTTTCTTCCTCCTTCCTACTTCCTCCTTTACCTCCTACTTCCTTCCTTCCTCCTCCCCCCCCCTACCTTTCCTCAATCTCCCCCTAAATATATTATACTATACCTCACTCAAACACACACACGTTTACAAAAAATTTTTTATTTGGGGAGATAAAATGGCCACAACAACAATATTTACGTCTCATTTAATTTGCTTTATTTTCCCTTAATTTTGTCCCCCCTCCCAAAAAATTTTTTTTATTTCATGCATTTCACACACACAATATTTTATTTATTTCTTCCCCCAAAAAATATATAGTTTAAGGGATTAATAATAGAAATAAAAAAATATAATAATAAATTTAATATGATTCACAAAATTTTTCCATTCCTCTTTTCAATTTCCTCAAAAATAATAAAATAAAAAAATTATAAAAATGAAACTAAATATAAATATAGGTATATGATTAAAACTGAAGAAAAAAATTTAAAAAAAAATTTAGAAAAAAAATTTTTAATAGGAAAAATAGGTCCAGAAATAATAATAAAAATCCCTCATCTCTTTTTTCTAAAATAGGTGTGAATAATAATAAAATAAAAGTTTATAAAAAGATTTATTAATTTTTGGGTGGGTGTGGCATAAAAATAAACCCCCAAATATTATATTAAATTTAGGGAGAGAAAAAGAAAGAAAAAAAGTCAAAAAAAGAAAAAGCATCACACAACAAACCAATAATATTTAATTTAAACCACCCAAAATGAGGAAGAATACTGTCAGTTTATTATTGCTTAAAAAATAAATATAGTATAGTAGAAGGTAGAAAATTTAAAATTTAATTAGAGTAATAAAAAAAAAATACGAGTGGAAAATTTAGAAATCCACAGACCTTCCCCTTCCTCCATCTGGCAACATATTTTTAAAGAGAAAACATTTAATTTTTAACAAATTTTTAAAGAGAAAAAAAAAATATTGAAAGACACAAAATTTTGTAAAGACTCACAAAAAATTTAATTGCATATTTAAAAAATTCAGTTTTTTTAATTAAAAAATGGAAAACGAATAAAAAAAATTTTCATTCTTCATTATTATTGGTTTAGACAAAAATTAAATAGAAAATTTTTAATAAGAATAATTAAACATGCAAATAATTTTTGAAAGAAAAAGAGAGAGAATTTATTCATTTATTTGCTTTAATAAAACTTAAAATGAACTTTCTTTTTTTAATTTTAAGAGAAAAATTTATTATTAAATTCTTAAAATTTAATAAAGAAAATTATAATTTAAAAATTGAAGCAGCTGAAGAAAAAAAATAATATTTTTATTTTGTGTTAATTTTCGTGACCAAGTAGTTAAGTAAAATGAAATACAGGCAAATTAAAAATTTAATAGAACAAAATAATAAATTTAAAAAATTAAAAAATGTAATAAATAATAATAAAAAAATATGCCCTAAAATTAAAAGACAACCGTGTCACCTTTTATAAATCCCCTTTCCCCCCACATACTCCCGCCCCATCTCTTTTTCCCGTTAATGCAATAAAATATAAAAATTAAAAAAAAATTTTTCAAAAACAAGGACACATTTATAAAATTAAAAATATATTAAAAATATATTTATTTACAAGATGATGATATTAAAATTAAAAGAATATTAAACAAGTCGGCATTTATCAAATAAAAAAAATTAGAACAAACAAGTAGTTAAAAAATATGGCGCGCGAGCATAAAATAATAATATAATACATATATCCCCCTATTTATGGTGTTTATTTACAGGTAAAAAAAATTTATTTTTATATTTGCAACTTTATGAAATAATCGCAAAAATCAAAACAAAATATGCCGAAAATACAAAAATTAAATAATAAAAATATAAAAATAAATACAAACGACCTAGTAGATTATTAGGTAATAATACAAAATTTATACTGTACAAAGCCCCTCGCCCTCTCCCCCTCTTCCACAAAAACGAGTACTCAAATTACCTTGAATATCTAAATGAAGTTTTAAAAACTTTACAATTGTAAATTTAAAACCTTAAATATAAACTTGTTTTTACAAACTTAAAAATAAACTTTTTTTTGAAGTTTTACAATTGTAAATATATACAAAACTTAAAACTTGAAAATAAACTTGAAACTTTTGTAAAATTACAAACTTGAAAGAAAATATCGGAAAAGTCTTATAGGAAAAATCATCGTTTCATTGCTTTTCTTTGTATTTCAAAAATTTAAATTTTTTTTCAACAAAAATTTTTTTTTAATTAAATGATCATTTCGATAAAGAATTAAATATGCCATAAAAAATTTAAAAAATAATTTTTAATTAAATTTAAAAAGATTTAAAATAAAATCTTCAAATAAAACGCCAAAAATGTTGTAGTTTTTTACCCCCAACTTTTATTTCATTAATCATTTTAAATTTCAATTTTTTTCTCCAATCATTCCAAATAAAATTTTTAATTCTCTATCAAATGGTATGAAAAGCATTAAAAATGATTCATTTATTTTCAAGTTATAAATCTTGAAATGAAACGACCTATATAAATTAATTTTTAACAAAAAATACCGTAATAAAAAAAGAAGAGAAAGAAGGCTGTAAAAAATTTAAAAAAAGCATAAAATATATATTGACTCAGGTTTTTTTTTTAAAAAATTGGATGATCATTTTAATGTAATGGGAAAATATTTAATAAACGCATATTTTAACACAATTTAAAAAATATATTTAGAAACTTTGGCGTTGATTGAGAAAAAATTTGGAAAAAAAAGTTGGTTAAGTTGGAAAAAGTTTCAAAATTAAACAAAAAAGTTAGAAAAGGTTGGACATATTTAAGTTTAATTTTTGAATTATCAAAAAGCACTAAGAAGCCTTTAATTTAAAATCCTATATCTCTTCAGGAGATAAAGATAAAAATTTAAATTTTATATCAAAAGATAGAGGAGAGTCTGAGCTATAATATATCCAAAAATTAAATTTTTAAATTAAATTTACAAAAAGTAGTGAATTTTTAAATGAATTCAGTATGTATTTTTAGTTGGGATTCTCACCTAAATTTATTTCCAGAATTAAAAAAAAATCCAAATTAAAAAAATTTTTTTGTATCATTTGATAACTCCAATTTAACAGAATTATAAGCTCAATATCACCTTTAAATCCCTTTCCTTAAACAAAAGTTAAATCGCCCTTCTATGTCCCTCAGTTTCCTGTCTCTCTCTCTCCCCCAAAATTACCCTATAGTGTGAATCAACACAGAAAATATTATTATTTTGCCATTTTTGGAGGTTCATTTAAATTAGAATTTTTTCGATAGTCAATTTCCGTTTATTGCCCCAAATTATTATTTTATAAAAATAATAACATTTTCTGGATGAGCACCACCACCACAACCCCAGACACACTTTTTTAACCCTTCTCAATTTTTTGGCCGTCGGCATTTTTGTAGAAAAATGAATAAATACTTGTTTTACTTGTATTTTTCTAAATGATTGAGTGGGCCATATTGGACATATACTACCAAAATAGGAAAAAAGGAAAAAATCTGTTGTAGAAAAAAATAGCCTCAAAAAGGAGGTAAAAAAGGTAGACGGTAATTAATGCTTATTTGAGTCTAAGATTTGGATCACAAATTGGATCTCAAAAAAATTAATGAATAGTACATATTGATAAAAAATTAAATACAGAATTAAATAGGTTATCACTTAATAGAAGATAATAAATTTTAATAAAAAGGACAAGAAAATTGTACAAGAAAAACTGGCATTTTTCGGGTATTCTTTGGGAGGTACCGGAATTTTGGATTTGGATCAAGACACCAAGACTTTGATTTCAATTTTAGATAAGATCCGTTTTTTCCGTTTGGTGTCCAAAATCCTGCTGGTGACCAAAATTCCAAAAAATTTGTGACCAAAGTTCCGAAAAATATAGGTGACATTATTCCAGTGCCCAATATTCCGTAAATCATTTTTTGGATATTTTTGATAGTTTTCCTGTAACAACTTTAATTAAAATAATTTTAAAAATTCCAATTTTTAGCGTTCTATAGTCTCATTAATTCTCGATAAAAAACCATCAAAAAATATTTTAAAAAATCAAAAGATATATGAAGAATATCTACTCAAGCTCAACTACATTATAGTAATCGTTTAAATAAAATAACACTTAAATCGAGTAAAAAATAATAATTTTTAGGTAAAAGAAGCGTGTAACAAAATATAGAAAAAGTGGGAGTGTGGATTTGTTATTTTTGTTAAATAAAAAAATTTTTTAAAGGGCCGGAAGAAGAGAAAAGAATGTTTTTGGAGGCGAACTTGTCGTTTCTAAGGCCATCAAAAATAAAAAAAAGTTTCAGAAACTTTTTTTGCTAATGGCTAAAAATAAGTGTATATATCTAGGTAATAATGTTGCTAAAAATAATATATTAAATTGATAGAAAAAAATATTAAATTACAAAAATTATTAGTATTTTTTTAATGTGTGTGTTAGTCTTTGAGCTATAAATATTGTTTCCGGAAAAACTTAATATTAAACTTGTTACAAAGCTACAGTAGAAATTAGAAGACTAGCAACAATTGTAAAAAAAGTTGCAATCGAAAAATTGAAAATGTAAAACAAATAAATTCAGAATTAAGCTCAGAAATATAAATTAAAACAAAATTAGAATTACAATAAAAATCAGAATTTGTAAATATGTTTGAAAATTACAAGAACAAAAACATAAATAATTACAAGGCTTCGCAATGAAACGTCCCTAAATTATAACCCCACACAAAAAATGTAACAGAAAAAAATTATTTAATTAGAAGGTAAAAAAAAAAGAATTTTTTATTGTCTTTTGCGCATTTAAGGAAGAAATTTAAATTAAATTGAGGCAAATTTGTTTTGGGAAAAT